GAAAGGCCTTCTTGATTCTTTTTTTGTTTCTGTTTTTTTTTTTTTTTTGTTTTTGGAGAAGGGGATGCAAAATTAACAATGTGAGACAGTTGGGACCTGAGGTTAGGAAGAACACTCTTTCCTCCCCATACGTGACCACTGACTCAAGTAAAAAATAACCAACTGTGGGAGAGCAGCTGCTGCTCTTCCTTTCCTTTAATAGCTCTTATTCCCTTTTTGTTGATTTTTGTGTATTCCCTTCTATGATAAATTACAGATAGTTTTCCCAGATCACTAATTCTCTCTTTAGCTGTTTCTACTCTGTTGTTTAAATGCATAACATATATTTATCTAAATGCTTACATAGTATATCTCTGGATGTTGCTTTTTTTATGCACATACATGAGAATCAATGGAGGCTAATTTTAACTAATTTTTAAAAAGGCAGTTATGTCATTTTTGACAGTTTCTGGTTCCTTAGCCTCATTTCCCTTACTGTATTTTGTTGAAAAATTTATAGATACTATTACAATATTTTGGATCTGGTAAATATCTTGATTGTTTGAGGGACTGAATTGCTGTTTCTTCTTTTAGCTTTCTCTAATTTATGTTGAGTTGTTTCTTAAGTCTCTGCTTTGGAATGTGAGAGTGCTCACTGGAATTTATGTTTGAAAGAATTTTAAGGCCTAAGGAAAAGGAATATTTTCACAAAGAGGACATGGGATGCTCTGGGAAGTTTCCAGAAACATTTTCAAGTAGAAACCCTTTAACCTCCTCTTTCTCTCTCTGTTCCTCCTCTTTCTTGCCTTCCTTTACCTCTCCTTTCGCATCCTTCACTTTTCCTTCTTTCCTTTCTTTTCTCCCCTTTCCTTCTTTCCATAAAGACAGTGTGAGTTCCAGATCAGAGTCATATCAGGGCCATCCTTGCCTTGTACTTCTCTTGGTCTAAGTGGCTTACCTGGTGGGGTGATCAAGACATGCCTCTGAGGGGAATGAGCCTCTGTTAACCGTTAAATCATCTGGTTGCCAAACATTCTTCACTGCCCTCATTGTGAAACTTGCAGAGGAACTTTTATTTCCCCCTCCATCCAGAGGCAAGGTTCAGATAGACAAAATTTACTAAAATACCGTCTCCCTTGGAAGATTTGGTATTTTAGTTCACTTACTGATATAGTCATATTTGGTGGTCTGAGATCTATGCAGGGGTTCTCCCATACAACTCTCATCCTGTTTGTGCATTTTGGTTTACCTTCTGATCCCCATATTTGCATCATAAAACCATAGCTGTAGGCCATTGTAGGTTTTTTATCATTTTAATATTTTTATCATTTCAATTTTCTCTACTTGATTTTAATGGATGTTAAAAAAAGTGTACAGCACTTCTACATATTTTGATTATGAGGGTTTTTATGGCCATTCTAGTCCAAAATAGATGTCAATTTCTTCATGTGTAGAGTGTGCTCTGAAGAAATAGAAGTCACTATGTGTAGAAATAGATTCATCACCCTAGACTAGGACTTGAAGCTGATCAGCTACTTATTCTTTATTCTATGCTATATGGGTGGGAGGCACATGATATAGTGTAAGTGTGTGTGTGTGTGTGTGTGTATGAATCCTAGTCAAAATAATAGTCAGTGTGAAGAGGGGATATTATTTCCTTCCTGCAAACCATTAATATTGATAGGAAAAAAATTAAACATAAATGTCAGTTCTCAAAATAATTAAACAATTTTATAGGGTCCAGAAATGGAGCAAAAGTACAAATCTTAAGTGCATAGTTCTTGTCATTTAAAATAAATAATATTTTAAATATTTTTTAAAAGTTCTATTTAAAATTTACAAACATTGCCTGACACTTGGTAAGCACTAAATAGATGTAGCCTTATTAATATTACTGTATACATTTACTACAAAACTACCACAGGTACTCAGTAAATTTTTGCTAAATAGATGACTAAACAGAGAGGCAAAGAGGAACCAGAAGTCGAGGTCATGGAAGTCACTGGAAGAAGAATTTCAAGAAGCTAGAAGTGGTCAGCTATGTTAAGTGACGAATCAAGGACTGAAGAAGACTGTCATATTTGGCAATCAGATGAAGTGACCTGACCAAGAAGCAGCTTGTGTGAAGTGGTAAGGACAGAACGTAGACTATAGTGGGGTGAGGAGGGAGTGGAAATAAAGAAGAAGAGCTAGGAAAGTAGATATTATACATTCATGTGACAACAAGTATTGAGATAAGAATGACTACATTTGATCT